ACCGCTGTTTTGCTTCAGTGGCAATGGGAAACAACATTGCGACCCTGCAGCTCTTGCAGAGCAGGGGTTGAGGGGCCGGGGGGGCAATGCCTTTCTTCCCTGTCGTAACTAATTGTGGGCAATAATGTTTTACACTGAATAGGGCTGTTTTATTTTTTGCTCTACTTTTTTCTCTTCCGGAGTGTGTTTTTTAGCTTAGGAGGAGGGCAATGCAGCTGTGAGGGGGTATAAAGCCTGCTGCAGGCAAACCTTATTTTTCAAGCCAGCACTCGTTGGAAGGGTTGCACAAATGGTGCTTGGTTCAGGTGCAGTTCTTGGGTATTTGCAGGCTTTGTCCAAATCTTGTAGATACTGTGATTATTTATGGTTTGGTTTTTTTTTTTTTTTTTTAAGATACAGTTTGGAAGCACAAACCCTGTTGTGTAATTTCCCGTTTATGCCTGCAGTAAAACCCTTACCCAGTTTCTCCTGCATGTGTAACTGGCCACAGCACTGCTATCCATGTCCTTGACCAACAAACTCCTACAGCTCTGGGCTGCGTGGGAGCACCTCTTTGCTGTGCTTCACCCAAGGATCCCCCTTGCTTGCATCACTTTGCCTGGTGCCTCAACCATACGTTAGGGGATTTATTTTCCTGCCTCTACCATTTACCACCTATTAAGTTTTTGTGTTTTAATTTTGCGGTTGAACTGTCCCATCGTGGCAGTGGACAAGGCTCTGACCCCTGCAGCGATGCCCACTCACCCCAGCAGTACCCGACTGTTGCCTTGCCATCACCAGCATCCTTCAGCATTGCCAGGGTGGCACAGAAATCCCTCTCCTGCCTTCAAAAAGGGAGAGGACAGATGCCCTGGTGTATGGCTGCTGCCACAGCTGCCTGCTGGCACAGCAGAGGGGCTGAGATACTTGCTCGTGCCACTGAAGCAAAGGAGAGCTGGATGTCACCTGCTGGTTTATGGTAACTGTGCCTTCCTCAGCAGCAGCTTTTATGGTGTCTATTCAGTTGGGCTGCAGGAAGGACATTGTGGAGCTTTGTGGAGCTCCACGGAAAGGTTTCCAGACCCAATCTTTACCCACAAATGGTAAAACCAGCACATTTCCCCTTTTCAAAAACCAATGGAGACTGAAGGTCAGCCTGAATTTGCCATGGGCTACAAATGCATGATGGGGTCTGTCGGAGTCATCTGCCACATCTGGGCCACAGTGTTTAGCAGAGCTTTGTGCCTTGCTGAAGAAGATTGTTTGGATTGCTACCAAAACTGACCAAAGTCCAGGCGTTTTGCAGAGGGGACCAGGGCTGAGGGCTTGTGCCAGTGGTAAATCTGTGTAGCAGAGCCAGTTGCCAGCTGCCCCTGGTAGGGCCAGGGTAAGAGCCAGGGCCATGGGTGATGTCAGAGAGCATTAATTTTTAATCACCAACCCCTCACCTTAAGTTTACCTTAAGTTTACCTTAACCTCGGATTGCCAGGTCAAAGCCAGGGAGCAATGCTGGCAGGTAAATGCCCACTTGTGTGGAAGTGCAGGACAGATCTGACAGATTTGCTCATGTAGTTCCCATTTTGTCTTCCAGCGGAGCCGAGTCCCTCTCTTCAGATGAAAAAGGTACAGTAACTTTGTGAAATACAGCACTTGAAATGGGGATTGTTACGAGAAATGCCTGTCCTTCAAAATGGAAATGACAATAACTGCTGGCTTTAAAAATTGGTTTAAGAACACTTACAAAACCATGGTGTAATGCTTTAGGTTAATGGATAAGAGTTTTGATTTTTTTTATATTAATTTTTAAAATTCATATTCCTGCTATATATTCCCTTCCTCTGATCAACATAATGCAAAAATGCCAAGCGGGGAGTTAAATCTTTTCCAAGCCTATAGCCCCCAGTGGCTTTTCTCTTACAGACATGGTGGCTGGTGGTGTGGAGGGAGAGAGCTCCACCGAGGAACACCCAGCAGGTGAGCACACATGTGGCTGAGGGCTTTCCCTGCATGTGGGGTGGCATGGCTGGCCTTGCCCCCCCCCTTT